GGGAATTTCGCACCCTTTTGCTGCCCAGGCGGCCGCCGCGACTGGGCGCGCGCGGCCCGGGCCGGCGGCGCCTGGACGGCGCCCTGGCTCGGCCCGCCCCCCGACGAGGCCATGACGCGCGCGCTCCTCGGGGGCTTCGAGGCCGCGGCCAAGCCGGGCCCCGAGGTCGCGACGCCGCCCGGGTCGCCGCGCCCCAAGGGCAAGGGCGGCGGCCCGCCGCCGGCGTCGCCCGCGACGCCGCACACGGCGGCGATGACGGCGCCGCTGGCGCCATCGGTGCGCACGCACGACTACCCGTCCGACTTCCTCGAGAAGTGGGCCGAGGCCGCGGGCTGCCGCGCCGTCGCCGACAAGCTGCCGCCGCACGCGATGCCCGTGGGCGCGGCGCAGATCTCCGCGTGCCTGGAGCACCTCGCGCCGCTGGCGCCGCGGCTGCGCCAGGTCGTCGCCGTGCCGGCCTGGGACGGCAAGCGCATCATCGGCTACGCGCTGCTCCACGGGCTGCCGCCGGCCTCGGCGCTCCGGAGCCGCGTTGCCGCGACGCCGCCGCCGCTCGCGCTGCCGCCGCCCGCGGAGCGCGGCGAGTCGACGAGCTCCGGCGCCGCGAGCCCGGCGCCGGACTCGGACGACGACGTCGGCTTCGCCCGCGCGCCCGCGACGCCCGCGAAGGCGTCCAAGGCGTCGCTCGACTCGCGCGCGCGCGCGATCCGCGCCGCGCTCGGCGCCGCGGGCGCGACGAAGTCGTCGTTGGACCTCGCGCTGCCCCTCGACGACGGCACGGCGCGGGATTTGTGCGACGGCGTCGGCCCCGCGCTCCGCCGGGCGTCGCCGCGGCCCGCGGAGTCGCCGCGGAAGCCGAGCCGCCGGTCGCGCGGCCGGCGCCGCGCCGCGGACGGCGCCGCGGGCCGGGCGACGTCCGCGTCGGACCTGGCCCTCTTCGACGCGGGCCTGCGGGCGCCCCTCGAGGCCCTCGTGTCCACGCTCTACCTCGCGTCCGTCAAGGACGCGAACCCGCTCCACGCGATCGAGCTGTTGGCGTCGGCCGCGTGCCAGGGCCGGCGGACGCTGTTGCCCTGGTCCGGCGAGTGGGCGGACCCCCAGGCCGTGGGCAACGGCGGCGACGACGACCCCTGCGAGGCCATGGCCGAGGAGATGGGGCTCGACATCCTCGACGTCGCGGGCGCGGTGCACCGGGGCCGCGAGTTCGTCGAACCCGTGCTCGAGCTGGGCCTCGGGTCCGCGGGCAACGGCCTCTTCCGCGCGCTGGCGCTCTTCGGGGCGGAGCTCGGGC